AAGGGTAACATTTAATCTTCAGTCTGTTCTAGGGTGATGATCACATTTGACATTTCTTTGCTGCATGTCTGAACATTATTTTCTCTTTTTGTATTTGTTTACATCATTGATTTGCATTACACTGTCATGTACTCCATTCCTTTATGAGTATCATTAGCTGTTGCAGATATCAATATTAATATAATGTAACAGATAGGATTGCCCCATACTGAGGTCTGACAGGTGGGTTTCCCATTCATTGCCATTCTATCTCCATGATTCTCTCTGGTATGCTGCACTGCATAAGCAGCCGCTGTTTGTACACACCTCTGTTGATAATGAGGATTCAATGTTTACATGGACCCTTCAACATTAATATTTATGCTTTCTTGATGTGTCAGTGAATACTAAGTGGTAAATACTGAGTGGCTGAGCTGGAACAGAAAAGAAAATTGTTCATTTTTAACAGCGTAGTCAGATCTTGTCACTTAATTCAAACGGCATAGAAATGTAATGCACTAAATCCCTTCGCAAATTAATTTAATCTTTAAAGGTAAGGTCATTTCTTTGATATTAACATACATTCTGCTTAATGTGCAAAGACAACAGTAAAATAAAACACTGTGATGATTTCAACTTTTTTGTTTATCTGAGCAGTGCAACTTCTGGCTTAACCAGTCAATGTTTGTTTTTGATTGTTAAATTGTTTTCGTTGCAGTTGTACATGTTGAGAGTTGAGAGTGGATTGTGGGTAAAGGCTGTGCAGTAGGGAACATTTCTATATATTAGGATCCAGCAATAATTAGAACCACAGCAAAGACACAGAGGAACTTCAAATTCCAACGTTCACATTGCAGCTATCAGGCTAACACACTGTAATGAAAAGAAAACTACTGCTCAACAATTCCTGTGTATTAGATACATCTCTGCCGCAAGTTTTTTTTTTTTTTTTTCCATTTTTAACAGAAGAAATACTCTTATTAAGTGGTGGGGACAAAATTGGCCATGACAAAAAGTGGTTGTGGTTTTTATCTGTTTTTTAAAGGTAAGATTTCATTCAGTGAGAATAGGTATGCAAATTATATTGGTAGTTTTTAAAACAACCCGCACAGACTGGCTCATTTGTCTGAAATTGCTCTGAGCCGTGTTATGCTGCTCTGATTGTTAAAGTTTCATTCCAGTTGCCAATTAGAGAATGTCTAATCTAAGCTAAAATTAATTGTACTCATCTTCTATTGTGTGGACAGCTTTAGCCATGCCTCTGTTAGTGCCGCTAATTTACAAATTACATTTCAACCTCGCTTTTGTTAGAGTTTGAAAGTTTTACAATTTTATTATTATTATTATTATTACTCGATTCAGAATTTTAGTAATTAATTTCAGCTCTCTCAGACTGTAAAAATAATTTACTGCAATCCCCTATGAGCTGTTAAATGAACAAGTTTGTCCTTGACTCTGAAAAATGAATGATGAATCAGCCTAACTTTCATCCATATGGAGGAGGTGTTGACTGAGAACTGATCTGTGAACAGGTCTTGTGTTACTCTTGTTATCAGTTCCAGTTATGACATTGTCTCAGCTCTGTTCATAATTTAATGCTGGATTAAATTAAAGTTGTTGTTTTTTTCTTTTTCCCACAAACTAGTTTTGTGTCTGTGCTTGCAGGGGAATCTAGGGTTACTCTCTTGATCTCTCTCCCTCCTACTCTTTCATTTTTGAATAGAGGGTTTTGTACTTTGTGAACAGCGTTGCATGAAATGGTGCACAGATTAAGGGGCGCTCACAAGCAGCACTATTTTATTTATTTATTCTTCTCTCCTTTTAAATGCAAGTGAGCCAAAGAGATTTCAGCCAGGAAGATGTGGCTCTTTCAGTGCTTTTTGCTCTCTGTGTGGGCTGTTAAGGTTAATTTCCCCAATCTGCATGCACATTTTCATCCAGCTCTCCTGGGGCAAAGTGTTCCTTTCAAACTTTCACAATTATTTTTGATATATTGTATTACAGAGGGGAAGTGGATTGATTTAGGGAGGTGGGAAGCTGAAATCATTTGATGCCTGCGATATGACCCATAAGTCAGAGCTGTTATTTGGAGCTCTGGCATTATTCTTTCTGCAATTTAACATATTATAGTTAGGTGTTCAAATTGCCAAGCAGCTGTTATGGTATTACAGTTTGTGCATAATTCAGAAGAGGAGAATAACAGCCCTGTGCAGTTGGTTAAAATGAAAACATTCGATGCTTAGTTTTTATTTCTGACTCTTGAACTGTCATTTTTTTGCTACGAGAATACTTTTTGTACGCAAAGAAAACAAAAATAACGACTTTATTCAACAATTTGTCTCCTCCGTGTCACCCTGGTGCCATTTTGGAGAGTATCCACTGGACGTAAACAGCTTATGCTATTCTGTGTCAGCTGCGCCACACGGATACCTTTTCTATGTTGTTTATGCTTTGATTTGAATGAAAACAACGTATCCACGTGATGCAACTGACACAGAATAGCATACGCTGTTTACGAATTGAGAGACGAATTGTTGAATAAAGACGTTGTTTTTGTTTTCTTTGAGTACAAAACGTATTCTCGTAGCTTCGTAAAATTACGGTTGAACCCCTGACGTCACATGGATTATTTTACCGATCTCCTTGCTACATTTCTGGACCTTGATCGTGGTAATTACATTGCTGTCTAGGGGAGGGTCAGAGAGCTGTTAGAATTCATCAAAAATATCTTAATTTGTATTCCGAAGATGAACGGAGGTCTTACGGGTTTAGAACAACATGAGGGTGAGTAATTAATGACAGAATTTTCATTTTTGGGTGAACTAACCCTTAAAGCAATACAACTGTTTCTTGGGCACCAAATCAGCATATTAGAACAATTTCTGAAAGATCATGTGACAATTCAACTGTGCCATCACAGGAATAAATCACATTTTAAAATATATTCAAATATACTGGTTTTATTGTATTTTTGATCAAATAAATGCAAACTTGGTGAGAATAAGAGACTTTTCAAAAACTTTTAAAAATCTTAGCGACCCCAAACTTTTGAAAGGTAGTTTATATAATGCTTATATCATGTGTCACAATTTAATGCAGGTAGTCTGACTTTCTTTTGTTGATATTTCTCTGCATTGCAGGAGCCAGTAGAAATGCTAATGCACTTGTTTTAGGTGGTCAATAAATCTCCTTAATATCTTGGATCCCTGATGTCAGTGTCAAGAATAGACTAAATACATCTTTTCATGATGTCGAGATCTCGGTGTGAATGAATGGAGGTTTCTGGTTCTGTCTGCAGTTTAAATTGCGCTCAGGGGTCCTCCACCTCTTGCGCACAACACTTATCCTCAAACTCATTGACGTCCGGGTCACTTGGCCACCAATTTGATTGCCAAGAACATGCCTACAGCCCCTCCTCGCCAGCCCCTTTGCTTTGATGACTCAAGAAGCCTGGTGCTAAAAGTTTGAGGCGAAGGTCTGGAGACTCGCCTTGGGGAATATCCATCTATGCCTCATTGGATCAAGAACATCACCCATCTCACGTTAGCCTCTTTACATGGATGCAGTTACAGCAAGGGGAAAAATAAATCGATAACAAATCTGTCCCTGGGTTGTTATTGCTTAACTGTGTGTTTGAAAGTGAATGACAGGGTTCAACAGAAATAATAATGCCTCGTCATGAGTGCTGACGTTCTTCACTCATTCAATATTTAAACTTTTCCGGAAATTGATCCGTTGGGTGTGCGCCTGTTTGTTGGGGATGTTTTTTAGGGTTTAATCATTATAGGAGAGTTTTGTGTAATCCTAGAGAAGTGAATGGAAGGATTAATGTCTCTCTGTCATGCATGAAATGAGAGTTTCCCCCTCACCAACCTCAGCAGACAGCAGCTCTCTTTCTCTTCTGTCTTTTGATAGCTCACTGGCATCCAATAAATTAAATGGCCTTTGGTTCATCCTCTCAAATACCGTTTCCTGTTCAAATCCTCCTTCCTGTAGGCGAAAGGAAACAAATTCTTCCCATCTTATCGAGCAGTCATTAGTAAAATCAGTGGCAGCACACAAAGCAAATATTTCCGTTGGTTAATTTGTTTGAAGATTGAAGAGCAGATCCTTTTTTATAGAGAAATTGATGGCTTTATCGCTACAATGTGATATGCAGCTGTAGCTTTGACAGGCTTGTCTTAAGTCTTTGGAGTGTCTTCAGAATATTAGAGGAATTGGTTGTGTTCATCATATTGAAATCTAAATTGCCCCCTCTATTTTCTTGTTTCCCATTTCAGTGATTGAACACAAAAAGGCTGATGAATCACAATTGTTGATCTCTTATTTGGAGATAAAAACCACTTTGTCTTCATCTAAGTTGCATTGAAAAGATGAAAGCGCTGAATATGAGCACATTTATAATGGGGGCCTCACAATAATCATGATTTACTCTTGTAACGCTGAGTTATGTGGCTATTTCATTGAATGGCTTATTCCACCTCAATGCAAAAGTGCATTGAATTTCTGTCTTGTAAAGGTACCATTGGTTTGTGAGTTTTTCAAGGCCAATGGCAATATCTACAGAACATTCAGGCCACAGAAAGTGTGTGTGTGTGTGTGTGTGTGTGTGTGTGTTCAGCTATGTTTTTATTATTGTATAATATTATTCATGTATACACTAATGTACAAAAATTGAGGTTGGCAAGCTTTTTTTAAATGTTCTTTAAAAATGTTTTTATGATTACTAATGCTGTATTTGATAAAAAAAAATATTGTTAAATATTATTACAATTTAGAATAACTGGTTTGTATTTTAATAGATTTTAAAATGTAAAATCTATACACATGTTGTATATTACAATATACTGTATATTGTAATAGTAAATGTTGATAATGGCCAGTATAACTCTTTTTTTCGTTCTTTCAGTAAAGAAATAGGCAAATGTACTTGCTTTGAAGCAACAACAATAACCTCTTCTATCTATGAACACCGAGTAAAGATGGTGACATTACAACTCGTGTCATGCTCCACTGAACAGGGCAGCTTGTTCCTGAGGAGCTCTGTGAAGATGAGCCGCCCCCTAAAGAGGTGTCCTGCGTGATGGCGTGTTCAGGTGACTGTGTGCTCAGCTCATGGTCTGATTGGTCCTCCTGCTCCCACAGCTGCTCCAGTAAAAACTCAGAGGGCAGACAAAGCCACACACGGACCATATTAGGCTTGCCAGGAGAAGGTCAGTTGACTTTCATCTTCCACAGAAATTGGATAATGATGTTTTTACAAATGTCTGACCAATTCATTTTTAATTAAAGCGTGTGACATGGTGCTGATACAGCTTGCAGTCTGACCTGCATGTGTCACTTCCTAACCTCTTTCATTCCCACCGTGTTCCAGACTCTCTGCACCTTCCTATCTATTACAATAAAAATATTTATAAAATGAGAAAACAAACAAACAGATAATTTAATGCTGTGATATTGATTTGACAAGGGACAAAGTTTTCATTTATTATCATCTGAGGGTGACACCATTAATCGGTTTGTTTTTGTGAGTGGAGGAGCAATTTTGCATTCTTTGTTTCAGAGGATCAGTGATAAAAATGTGTTCACAGGGTTTCATTTTTCTGTCTGCCTACATACAGCTGTGGGCTTTTCCAATCATGCACAGTCCTTCTGGAATGACAGAAAGAGCTGTGTAATTAAGACTTAAATATACCTTAGTCTGAAGACTGCTTCTGCCCACTTCATGCATCTAGAAAATGGAAATAAAGCCCCAGCCTCTACACACCATCTACCGAGTGTCATTAATCAGACAAGCCCTTATTAATATTCAGCCAGTCTGCGTTACACTCATAATGAGTCCCTGTGTTATGGAGAAAGGCTGAATGTCAATACAATGTCATTAGCTTCAAGGGCAGATGGTGTAGGAATTACTTTTAATTATAAAAAGTGCAGAAGTAATTTTGAAGGCTGATCCCAGAGAACTTGTCACAGGTGTTCCTGCATCACGTGTGGAATACATATTCAGTTTCCTGATTCAGGTGTAGTATGTTGAGTTGATTTCAAGTACGAGGAAGTTTTGATTAGGACATTAAAACTCTGGCTGATAGAGATGAGCTGATATTTATTTTGATTTTATGGTTGATGGCAGATTCTACACTGTTGTGTGGTTAAATGATATAAAGGGATAGAAATGTTGTCGTCATGCACTTTCCAAACTTGTACGACTTTTCTTCTGCAGAATACACAAAGCCAAATAGTTTTGGTGATGACTTGCATCCAAAAATAAAAAAATAAATAAAAAAATCTTATAATATCAACTTTTATGCTCCACAAAAGAAAGTCATACAGGTTTGTAACAACTTGAGGGTGAGTAAATGATGACAGAATTTTCTCAGACTGTTCTTCATTGTTTGGACACAGAGGTAAACTCAAGCTATTGTTTGAGCTGTTGTTGCTGTGTTGGGGAAGTTAAACAATAGCAATATTCTGCTAAAATATTAGTATATATTTTGACTGTTAAAATACTACATTCATTCTTTATATACACCATCGAGGGTGATTTATTTTTCCCCAAAAAAACTGCAAACACCAGTGTTATTTTAGTATTGTTTATGTAATATTAAAGATTTTTTAAATATCATTTTGAATTGGCTTTTTCATTTTCATTTTAGTTTAAATTACATTTTTTGTTATTTTTATGTGCTTTTTTAAATAAATAAATTGGAGTCATTTTTAAATAGTTTTAATTTATTTTTATTTTAATTTTAGTTTTACTTCTGTGTTAGTACCGTATTGGCCCGAATATAAGACGACCCTGATTATAAGACGACCCCCCCTTTTTCCAGATGTACCTTTTGGAAAAAGGCTTTTTAAAAAACAAATCTTGTTTTTTCTCAGTAAAACACATTTTGTCTTCAATTATTTTCATATTGCATATTTTTCCTATTTTAATTTTTGTTTTGAAAGTATGGTAAAAACTGGTAAAATGTACCAACAATCACATTTAAAAAATATCGTCTTATATTCGGGACTTAAACTTTTTTCAGTTATTTTTAGTTTATTTTCGCCTCGTGGTACCATCACAGAGAGGCTCAAAATCACTTTCCAGAACATTCTCATTCACCATTCCTGGCTGGTGGAATGATCTTCCCACCCCTATCCGGAATGCTGAATCCCTAACAATTTTCAAGCGACAGCTGAAAACTCATCTCTTTCGACGCTACTTTACTTCATCCTAAAAAAAAAAATATTTCTCTTTATTTATTCCTTCACGTTCTAGCTTGCACTTATTTGAACAATGCCTGAAACTTGGTATTACAAGCACTTCCTGTGACTGTTTACCTATTTAAGAAGAATCGCTTGTATTCCCCAATTGTAAGTCACTTTGGATAAAAGCGTCGGCAAAATGACTAAATGTAAATGTATTTCAGTTACAACATTTCAAATTATCTTTTCAAATTATATAATTTTTCATCTTGTATTTAATTTAATTTAATTTATTTTTATTTCAATTAAGAATTTAAATTTTCTTTAATGATAACAACACTGTGACATTGGCTCTTTTAGCATTGCGTTGAACAACCAGACAGCAACATTAACTCAACCAATGGCTTGAGTTTGAGGCAACCAAACTTTGTTTGACTGACCAAAGAGATAAATATTATTATTATTATTATTATTATTATTGTTGTTGTTGTTTAATTTCATTTGATGCTGCTAGTGGTTCAGAAATTACATCATGAACAGTTTTTAAATTCTTTTTAAGCATTTCTTGTACCACATAACAAAGCTCAGCCTATTTCTCCTTTCGACATGCCTTCACATGTCCCAGTAGATTTCTGTTTCATGCCTCTTGTGCTCATGTAGCTCGTTAACATTTTATGGAGCATTAAAGCAAACTTAAGAGAGGCTTTTCCATCTGCAATGCAGTTAATGATCTTTCCCATTCTCAGCTAAGGCATGTCCAGCTGCTACTGCTCTGGAGGAGTGGAGAACTTGTAATGATCATCCATGCATCACGTTCTACTGGGAAGCTTCGCCATGGGGACCATGCATTGAGGACTCCTCCATGAATCTAAATGGCACCGGCTACTGGAACGGAACGGCCACCTGTGCAGTCGGTGTGCAGATTCGTAAAGTGGTCTGCATGAAAATGGGCGTCGGGCCAGTTATTCCCAAAAGGTGACTTATTTTTATGTATGAAATTTTTAATCTGTGGATTTGTGTATTTCCACACACCACATTGAAAGTGTTCACAGTGGCATTTTGTGGAGGTTAGATCATTAAAGCACATAGATTTTCCACCACTGCTCATAGCAGTTGAAATTGTGTATTTTACTAGTCTTTGGTGATCACTGCTTTTAATTTGAAATAACATAAACCACTTACTGTAGCTGTCAGATACAGGCAACAAGGATTTGTTCAAACAGGCAGCAAAATCAGAATAAATTTTTTATTTTTTTGGCAAATTCAAATTAAATCTCTTTAGTTGTTTGTAGTCTGAACAGCAAAAATATTAATTGAAAACCTGTCCTTTTGTGATTTTAAATCAGATTTAAATCAGATTTTGGAAACTTCATTCAGTACAGTAAGATCATATCGAACATAATTTCGTTTTTTCATCATTTGGGATTAGGTGTGACTAACATCATATACAATTTAGTCGCAGATGTGGGCACTATTGCACTTTATCTCATTTACATGAATGTAGCACTCGCTATGTATGAATGATCAAATAAGGGAATAGTTTTGGACACGGTGTATGTATGAATGAGCAAAATGTGGTGATGCCTTTAATGCTTATGCTTTTTTTGGTCAATATAAAAACATGACAACAGCTTAACAAGCACCTTGTCAAATACATTCAGTTTCCTCATCAAATATGTGCTGGCATAAAAGTTTTGCAGTGTTCCTGAATCCAGCCTATTTCCTTTATTGGATCATCCATTTTTATAGCTTTATCTTTAAAACATTGTCAGCATTTTGTCTTCCAGATATATATATATATTCAAATACAAGAGGCATAATATCACACACACAAATTTGGTCAATAATGTACTTCTCACATGGAAATATTTCCGTCTGCTAGCTTTTGTGAATATATGTACATTTTGCTTGATCATAGCACTAAATTAAGGCAGATATTATTAGATGCTGCTTCTCTGGGATGCGTCTTTGAACAGCAAAACTGGGAATTAGTGTTTCACATATTCTTGCTACACAATCACGCAATCCTGAAATCCCACTTTGATAGTTTTCCATTCAAATGCCTTCGATCGAGCAGCAGAAGCTGAGATTCAGAAATATTGGTGGGGCTTGCTGCAGCTTGTGGTACTTTTACACAGCATGAATGAAATATACAGTAAAAACTGAAAACGGTTCTCAAGAGTTTCGCATTTCCCTGACCTTTTCTCAGGAGAAGATTGCTGGTTTACTTGTGCTGAAACCATGTCTTGTATAATGAGTCTGTCAATATTCTCAGTCTTATGATGTAAGTGACTCTGAATGCAGGCTCGACTGATTTTTCTGTATGAGAGGAGTGGAGGTTCGTGTTGCCCCAGGTCTTTCCTTCATAAATGTTTCCTGTGGGAGTGTTGTAATGGCGCTTTGGGTAAGATAAATGTTCTATTGCATTGCATGGAGAAGATATTGTGTTGCGCATCAGGAAAAAGGACTCATAAATAATGCAGCCGTTTATCCATTTCTTTCTTTTATATTAATGACAGCAACATAAAAGTGAGTTTATGAGCTGGCGTATTTCATTGGCCTGGTAATAGGTTTTGGCTTGACCTCAGTTGTGAGAGGGGGACTGTCTTGAAAAAATAAAAAAATAAAATAAAAAATAGCATTTTCCCCAAATTCGATAGCAGCATAATTAAGATCTACTTTTTGCAGCGCACCTATGATGTCAACAGTACATAGATTTTTGAAGAGACCAAGTATATGTTTATCTTATTTTATTTTTATTTATTTATTTATTTTTATTGCATGCATGCATTTAAGAACCATTAAGATCTGGAATTTTTAAACTTATATGTGACCCTGGACCACAAAACCAGTCATAAGGGTCAGTTTTTTTTTTTATTTGATTTATACATCATCTGAAAGCTTCATTTAAATAAGGGTTAAATAACCCTTTTAAATAAGGGTTGTTAGGATAGGACAACATTTGGCCGAGATACAACTATTTGAAAATCTGGAGTCTGAGGGTGCAAAAAAATCTAAATATTGAGAAAATCGCCTTTAAAGTTGTCCAAATGAAGTTCTTAGCAATGCATATTACTAATCAAAAATTAAGTTTTAATATATTTACGGTAGGACATTTACAAAATATCTTCATGGAACATGATATTTACTTAATACCCTAATGATTTTTGGCATAAAA